AGACAGGACATGACGCGACTTAGGATTACTGAGGACATGACCCTTGACAGAGAATTATGGAGGCGAACATTAAGGTTGTAGGTTAGGGGAGAGTTGAGAATATTTCTACAGCACAATAAAGTAAGACTAGCCAGTTATGAGTTAGACTAAGAATGTCATTGGTCGTCTATTGATGCAGGGCTTTACCTTCTAGTTTTACTATACCAGCCATCTATTTCGTATTTCGTATTTCTTATTCTGTATCATATCTCTTATATATTGCTGTTATTTTATTAAGCATTTTTATGGTATTAATATATCGACTCCTGTTGCTTTTTTGAGCCGAAGGTCTCCTGGAAACAGCCTCTCTACCCTTCGGGGTAGGGGTAAGGTCTGCGTACATATTACCCTCCCCAGACCCCACTTGTGGAATTATACTGGGTCGTTGTTGTTGTTTTGATCTTGATGTCACCTTTTCCCGTTGCATCCACAGTAGAACAATCACCAAAACTAACTTTAGAACGGAAGCCTTCATTTAAGTAAGAAAAGCAAGACTTACTTCAAGTCATGTGATTAGTGCAGCCTGTGTCTAAATACCAAACATCTCGCTCGGTTTCCTTCTCTACTTGAATTGCCATCAACAAGGTCTCACCTTCCTTGTTCTCCGCGTAATTGGACTTCTCTTCCTTTTCTTTGTCATTAGGCAGCCTAGTATAACATTCAGATGCATAATGACCAAATTTACGACATTTATAGCACTCTATCTTGGATTTGTCATAATCTCGACCTCTGCCTTTGCCTTGAGATTGATCATTATTTGCTTTGAAATTCCTATAGGAATCTCTACCTCCACGAACTCCTCTTCCTCTGCCTCGACCTCTACCTCTACCTTTTCCTCTGGAATTGGAAGAAGAAATAAAAGTAGAAGCCTTCAAAGCCTGCTCATCGGAAGTTGAACTACGGTTCATCTTCTGCTCATGCACCGATAAGGAGCTCTGCAATTCGTCAAGTGATAAGACATCTATGTCTTTTGACTCCTCAATGGAGCAAACGACATAATCATACTTTGGTGTCAGAGAGCGCAATATCTTTTCCACTGTTACGACATCGCCCATGTTCTCACCATGGAATCGCATCTTGTTGCATATCTCCATGGTTCTAGCACAGTAGTTGGTGACGGATTCTCCTTCCTTCATCTGCCAGGTTTCGAAGTCCCTCCTCAAGGCTTGTAGTTGTGCTTGCTTCACTCTTGTAGAGCCTTGATACTTTTTCTTCATAGAATCCCATATATCCTTGGAAGTTTCTTTGCAAAGAATGGTTTCCAAGATGGGACGCTCAATAGCCTGAAAGAGATAATTTTTTGCCTTTAAATCTTTCAACTTTCTTGCTTCAAACTGAGTCTTTTGAGCATCCGTCAAAGTTTCGCCTACTGCTGGCGCTTTAATGCCGTCTTCAACAATTGGCCAATACTCTTTTGACCGTAAGAAATTCTCCATCAGCATACTCCAGTGGTCATAGTGACCATCAAAACGGGGAATAGCCGCTTGCACAAAATTGCTCTTTGAAGCCATAGATGAAGAACAATTTTTTTGTTTTTGGGTAAACTCTCTCTCTCACGGGTTTATCTTTTTTCTGGATCTAACCTTGCTCTGGATACCACTGATAGAAAACTAATCAGAGAAGGATGTAGATTTATAAGTGAAAAATAGAGCAGAGAAAGAGGCAATAGACCTGAAGAAGAAATTGCTTGACTGATTGACTACAATGCTGCAACTGCAGTTTTTTTATAACAAAAAAACATAGCAAACTTAATCTAAAAATTAGGAACTACCCCACAAAATTTTCTCCTAAAAACTAGATAACAAAAACCACGTTAAACTACTTCCTAAGGACTAGGACAAACCTAGAAAGCAGAAGTTTTATTTACTAACAACAACCCCCCATCCAAACCCAATTTTTTTTACTTATATACATTGACAATGTAAATAATGTAATTTAGCGTCTTGTAATACGTTTTGCGTCTTATTTTTCAAGTTATTAATTGTAGTTATTATGAACAACTACGTGCAAGTATCTTTTAGGTGATCTGATAGTGAGATAAATTTTTTTACTTTCAATGTACAAAGTTAAACCCAGGAAATAAGTCCCATATGCCTGTATATTTTCAGTTTCTTCCTTTAGTTATTCTCCTACATCAATTAGAAATCTAAATTACATAGATTATTGAAACGACATATTTACTGGATGAAACAACTTGAATCCTCATTAAGTTTTTAAGGTTTCAGATATGCAAATGAGCAACTCTCAGTAAATTTCTATTTGCAGATGCAATTTCAGTTTCTGCTACAAATGCGGGAAAAGCCCTACTGCTCAGAGGCGCTGGTGCAGGTGCAAATAAGATTGAAGATCCTCATTTTGCACATGTTAGGTTCACCTTTTTTCATGATAAAAGGTTGTATATATAATAAAGTAACTATAAATGGTTTGATTTATATACACTGACATTGTTAAAAATAATTGCAATATCAATATGTTACCTGCTACTTATCTGCTTTATATGTTCCATGTTACGGATCCACACATATATATATATATATATATATATATATATATATATATATATATATATATATGTATATGTATATATGTATATGTATATATATATATATATTATATATATATATATATATATAATTATCATGTAAATGACTAGGTAGTGGTTTTTTTTTCCAGTATATATATCAGTTAAACTCAAAATGGATTTGTAGTACCTATACAAATGAAATGGCATACCTAAAAAATTTAACCTTGTTTGGGAATACTTTTAGGAGTCGTTTGGTTTGACTTTGGGGGATAAGATGAAATGATCATGTTATATATTTTGGTATTGCTTTTTTCCCTGATTTGTATTTTGAATCATGTATAGCTAAGCTTGGTATAATTTAATGCATCAATTGGTGTTTTATTTTATACTTGGTATAACATGGAAGAGTAATACATGGATTAAACACCAAAAGATAAAATTGCCTGTAATCTCTCCCTGAAATCCATTATCAACACCCTTAATTTTATGAGGTTCAAAAAATTATCATATTTTAAATTTTATCATATATATCCCATATTTAGTATAAAAAACTAAACGTCCGATAAAAATTAATTGTTGCATTACAATCCCACATTATAAGTCCATGTATTACAAACGACCCTTTAGTAATAATTATAGATTTCTTATTGTGTTTTCAGGCTTGCTGCGTTAGATTACAGAACTTTTGTTATTTGCTTTTGTCCGAACCTTCATTTCGTTAAGGAAAATATCATTCACTTTAATTAAATTAGAAGGAAAATAAACAAGTTGACTAAACCAGAAGCAAATTCCTTCTAAGAGACTGAAAAGCACATATATGATATTTGGAGATGAATTTTCTTTTATATATCGGAGAATAATAAGAAATGAGAAATTAAGCAGCTTTTAATTTGTAATGCCAAATGTTAAGCTCTTGATTGCATTGGAGATACGTAAAAGCATTATGTTCAATTTTGTGGGAAAGTTTTTAGATAATTTTATATATAGGATTTCCCTTTTACTCCAATTTTTGTACTTCCAATTGGAAGCTTTTTAAAATTAATCAATTCTCAATGATGTTGTTCACGTCACAAATAATTTCTTTTTGTTATTCTTTGCTTGTGAGGGTCAGCCAAATTTAAGTTTGATGAAGACCAACTTTCGAGCAAAAATAAAATGTGTTGGTAATATTTGACATGTATTTTTGAATTCGTAAGATTTTTCATTATTTAAAATAAGGTGGTAATTGTCTTAGATTAATTAACTTTTAACTCTCGACGCATACAAGGAGAAAAATATAGTTAATGCTACAGTAATATGTACTTATCGATAGCAACAACAACAATCCAGTGAAACCTCACAAGTGGGGTCTGAGAAGGATAATGAGTACTATACACAGACCTTACTTCTATTCCGAGGGAGTAGAGAGACTATATCCGATAGACCCTCGGCTCAAGAAGACGAAAAGAGACAAATACATCAGTACCATCATCAGAAAACATAGAAACAATAACAACGACATAAGAACCAGAAAACAGATGAAAATCATAACAAGTAAATAAGGCCCTATATTATGGAAAACAGAAGAATAGTGTGAACACAACATTAACCACTAGCAATCTAAGACGAAATCCTATTAGGCTAGTCTCACACCCGGTACGAAGTATAAATTGCTCAACTACCTCCTAGCCTACAACCTTAATGCCCGACCTCCATCAAGGGCATGTCCGTCTACTTATCGTTAGCAAAATAACAAATACAAGAAGAGGTCACTGGTCATATATGCCGCTTGATTATTTTGTGGCTAGGCTTACAATATGCTTAAGTTGTGACAAAATTTTAATTACATGCCACAAAAGTGGCTACAGTTTAAATATCTAAAAAGTGTTAGAAGAGAAGAGACATTACATATCCATATTTTTAGCACAAACCAAAAAGAAAGACAAAATACATAAGTTGCCACCTGACTTATGGCCCAAATCTCTGTTACACACTTTCTAGGAACGAATATTACTTTACACACTCAACCTTTCCAAAGTGTATCTAAGACACCACTTTTTTCTTAACCAATTTTCAGAATATGTATAATATCACGCACCAATAAGGTCGTGACACATGTACTAACTCAAGAAACAAAAAATAAAAATACTAAATTTACACCACAATTGATATATTTAAAAGAAAAAAAAAGAAAAAACGGGAAACAACCCTCCCGTCTCTCATCTTCTTTAAACTCCCACACCAAGCCTCCTCTAAACTCCATGGAAATACCCACCAAGCCTCTTCTAAAATCCCACAGCAATGGAAATACCCACCAGAAAAAAAAAATTCACATGAATCAAGTGTTGTCCATGGCAACCACTACTATCGCCATGGCCAATATTCACACAGATCTTTCACATGGTGCTTTAAGTGTTGGCCATGACAGCTATCACTATCGCCATAATTTTTAGAGCAAAACCTACACTATAAACCCTTTCTTCACACCCATTCAAAAAAAAGTAAATTTTTGAAGTCAAAGAAAAAATAAGCAGATCTAAAAACAAAATTATGAAAACAAATAGAGAAATCAGTCACTGATTTCATTAGCAGATCTAAAAATATTTAAACTTGAAGGAGATGACTAATTAATTTGAAACTTGGACCTAGCCCTAAAATTATTTTTGTGTTTCAGAGTTTAGTTATTGGAGATGACAAAGTAGGTGTCCAAGGGAAGAAGAATACGGGTGGGCGTGTGTGGAAAAAAGACCAAATTATTTGGAGATGAAATAACTAAAAATAGAAAAGAAAAAAATAACAAAGGCTGGGGACATGTGACATTTAGATAATGGTTTAGACCCGAAAGTTTTACATTCACTCGCCTTTTTTTTGTGTAAAACACGCGCGCGCCAGCTGCCAAAAGTGGTGTGTATTAGATACACTTTGAAAAAGTTGGGTGTGTAAAGTAATATTCGTTCCTAGAAAGTGTGTAACAGAGATTTGGACCATAGGTCAAGTGACAATTTATGTATTTTGCCCAAAAAAAAAACTCACGACCTACAACATATCCCTTTTCTCAACTAATTCTTCGAAAAGCGCGCGAAAACAGTTGGAAAAAATTCTTCTCTTTCCTTTTCTTCCTTATTTTCTTTTTATTTATGTCGCAAAATTCGTTTTTGTTCTTTCCTTTTCTAGTTTCTCTATTTCTCTATATACAATAATGCGATTGCTTCCTCTTTTTCTGATTTTCAATAGGGAAAGAGGTATTAATTAGATCAGAATTGAGATGGATGGGAAGAATTGGAAGGCCCGGGCTCGGGGTGGGGTGGTGGTGAATGTACCACCCTATCGGTAGCTCCCGCCGGCGGATTGAGAGGTAATTTCCTTTATCGCTTGCAACTTGTACTTGTTTTTTTCTTTTGTCAATGATTTTACACTTGAATATTCTTTTGTTTATTTTTACAGTAAAAGACGTAGACAATTTTCTCATTTAGTAATTCGGAATCAGTTTTGACAGAATGGTTTGAGAATTGTAGGTTTAATTGAAATTACAAAGCAAAATGGAATTTGTACTGGAAATCTAGTCCCACCTTCCATTTGAGAAAGAAGGTACCCGTAGCATTCATTAAAATTTAAAACAAAATTTCAATACAATAATATTGACGGCACAGAATCTAAGGAAGTGGCAAGTTGTTTGTGTTAGTTGGCNTGTCAGATTTTTTATTTTTTTTTTGTACTTTCCTGCAGCGTGGGGCCCACTATCCGTTGGAAAATCAGATTCTTCATCACATATCCGTTGGCAAACGGATTTGTTGCATAAATGGCCATTTTTTTTTAAAATTTTTGGTATTTAATACTTTACAAAATTAACCCTTTTAAAAATCTATAAATACCCTCCCCCCCTCTTCTTCATTTTTTCACTCAAAATTCTTATCTCAATCTCAATTCTCAAATTCTCAATTTCTCTCTTCCCTTCAATTTGCAAGATTTCATCTTCTAATTTTATAATTTTTATTTGGCTCTCTTTTCTTGAATTTAATGTACATTGTACATTGTACTGATCCAAGGCATATGTTAACAAGTGATACTTGGGAGGTCATCAATGATGTTGTTAAATTTTTACATAAATTTTATACAGCTACTGTTGAGTTTTCTGGAGCATATTACCCCACTGTTACTATGACTTTAGTACATATAGCTGAAATTTCTTTTCTACTATTTGAATTTAAGAAGAAAGAAAAATATAAGGATGTTGTTGAAAAAATGCAAGCAAAATTCAAAAAATATTTCTTTCCAATTCCTCCGATTTACTTAATTGGTGCAGTTTTAAATCCTTCTATTAAAATGTCTGATTATCACCAATTAATGAATGCTTTATATATTTATATGGAGATTGGAGAAACTGAAACCCCAAATTTATATGTTTCTATGAACAAGCTAAATTAATATTTACAATAACTATATAATTGATAGCCCAGAAGAAGAGGAACTTGGAGATATATTAACACATGGAAACCCATCCGAATTTAACACGCCAGAAGAAGAATCGGTTCATATTGATTATGATGAACTTGCTAGGGCGATGCAAAACATTTGAAATTACTATTTTACTAGTTTACTTGTTGAAAAAAATGTAAACATTTCATTTTGTAAGTTTGAAAGTTGAAACTTGAAATTAAGAAATAAAGTAGCACTTGCAATAAGTGCAATTTTTTCCCATCTTATTTGTATTCTTAATTTCTTTTAATTAATACAAAGTATTAATATAACTTACAATAGTTATACAAAATTCCAAAAAAAAATTAAAAATACACTAAACCCGGCCCGACCCCCTCAACCCGTAACCCTTATGGTTCAATTTTTACCCGGATTAACCCAGCCCGCTAAACCCGTTACTGTACCAACCCGGAACCGGTCCGGCCCGAAACCCGGACGGGTAAAAAAAACGGACCCGGCCCGGCCCACCCGTTTAACAGCTTTAGTTCTGTCTTAACCCACAAAATTTCAACCCGCCCCACATAGTATTTGCACCCACATTCACCCGCCCCGCACCACACCTGCGTCCACCCGCTACGCCCCGACCTGCTCATTTTTTTTCTCTTTCATTTTATTAATTTTAATTTTTTATCTTTTGGCTGGAACTAGTCATACTTTTATGATATATTCTCATATTTTTTATTAACTTTAAAGATTATGGGAGGCTTCAGCTAAGGAAAGAACATGACAAGATACTTATGAGAATTACAATATTACATCTTACACATTTAAAATAAAAGTTACTTAACAAAAATCTTTGATATTATAATAACTTTTGATTTTTAACTTTTTATATTGGATTAAGAGTATATGTTATTTTTCAAGCTTATATTAGAAATTGGAAAAGAACCTATGTCAAAATCAATTAATGGATATTTACCTTTTTGAGTATTTGAGCAAAATGAAGGGGTAATACTTTTAGAATTAATTGAAAACTATATGTTAAATATTACAGTTTTAGAACTTCAATACAAGGATGAAAATCTGACGTGCAGGGATTTTTTTCAAATATTATGAAACTTTGTTTGTTTTAATATATTACGGGCCGGTTTCATCTCCAGAAAGGCTAAAAAATGAGTTTCCTTCTTTGATAAAAATTTTAAACCCGCACCCGCAAATTATTTAAAAAAAGTTATTTCAACCCGCCCCGCAACCGCATATGCTTAAACCCGCACCACCCCACAACCACATATGCTTAAACCCCCACCACCCTGCATATGTCTAAACCCACCCCGCCCTGCCTCGCACCTCCCCATTGCAATTCCTACTTTGCCTCGAGGTTATAGTGGGAAATTCTTAATGGGTTTTGGCATATCATGGGTGATGCCAAGCACTGTAAAGGAGTTAATGTTCAATTGGAATGATGGGAGGAGGTAAAGGCGCAGGGCATGGAACGTTACTTCACTAGCACTTATGTGGGTTATTTGGAGATAAATAAATATGAGAGCTTTTGAAGGGATAGATATGAATATTGTTAACTTGAGGAGTAGCCTCTCCTTATTTTCTTTTGGAACACAATAAAATTCTTGTTGTATATAAGATTGGGTGTCTTTCGTGGAAAACCATTTTTTTTTGTAGGTTTTCTACTTTTTGGTATACTTCTTGTATATGGGCGCGTATTGTCTCAAACATTATTGAAATTTATATAATTAATCAATAAAAAAATCACTCTTTCTAACCGATCAAAGAAAAAAAAATTCTCTCTTTCTAGGATATAAGAAAATAATGAAGCTCCCAAGTCCTTGGTCTAGCGGTAAGAGCGAACCTATGATGTGTAGGTTAGGCGCACGTCATAGACTCGAACCCGATGCAGACAAAATCTTGATTAAGTGGAGAACGATTGAGGGGTGGCCCTATTATCCACCGAGTTTCGAACTGTGCACCATTGGCTTTGGGGATTTCTCGGTAATAAAGAAAGGGAGCAAGAAAAAAGTGAATTTTCAAAAGTTAATTGTAGTTACAGTTTTATCCAACACAAAATGCACTTACAAAAGGTAATCAAAATTTGTGTTGGAGATTTGTACTTTTATAATTGTATAGATTAAAAGATGTAACTGTTAGTATATTTTCTAAGTGGGAAACTTAACTTTCTTAGACAAGTATATTTAGATGGAAATTAAAATGAATTAATATACCTGAAATAACTAACATGGTCCCAAAGTTTGCGTGAAATTTTAATGCTGTAAGGAATCAGGTTCTTTAATATTTGTGCTATCCTATATTTTTGTTTTATTTGTAGCATCTTTAGATCCTACAGCTCAGACGAGATGCGCAAATAGAGCTGATTGGCAGGAGGAGGTTTACCAAAAGGTATTGTTTGCAATGGTATTTTTACTTGCACAAGGTTTTGAAAACTGAGGAAAGTACAGATGACTTGCTATAAATTGATGTTTTGGCAATTGAAAAGTCATGTGGATTTTGATAAATTGGCTGGTTATAACAATATAAGAAATAGCTGAATATTCTGAAATATTTTCCTGTGATTGATGGAGTAATAGAGGAGGTTTCCCAAAATAGGTGTTCAGCTAAATTCATGGTCATACCCCTTCCCGCAAGGTACTTTATGCATTCTAGTTCATAGAGGAAATAGAAAATTGAGCATGTTAACAGAGACTGATATATTCTCAATTGAGAAGTATGCCCAGTTGCTTATTTTATCATTCACATGCTGAATCCTGCAAAATGTATTGGTTAATCAGTTGTATTCTTCCTCTTCTATTTCAATTTTAACCGTTTCATCTGAAGGTTCTTTACTAAGATTCTCTAGTTTGTTCTCTACTGCATAGTACAATTGATCTAATTATTAGTTATCCACACGAGACTGTAGTCCTGATACTTATATAGTCAACTTAATGAAAATTGTAATGCAGATCAAGTCTATGAAGGAGATGTATTTACCAAAACTCAATGATCTATACCAGAAAGTTGCTTCTGAAGTGCAGCAGGTGTGTCATCAGCGTTTTATTCCCATTGTTATCATTTCTGGAGGCAATTCTACCAGCTGTGTGGTGCATCATTCTGGATTTTCTAGATTTTGATATAATTGTAGATGTGCATAGTTCTATTCACTCCCAACTTCAATCCCAACTTGTCGAGGCTATACAAATCATTTATGTCCACTCAGTTATATTCAGGCGCATTTCATTCCAATAGTATAGACAAATTACAGGTTCTCAAAATTTCAATATATCCCCACCAAGCATACAAGTCTAACTGAAATAAAGGAACTCCTGGGAAACAGCTAACCCAATGTAACTGTTACAACAGCAATCAAGCCTTATTCCTGACTAGTTGGTATTGCTTATATGAATATTTTGTATATATTGTGTTCCCTTTTTTGGCTAAGTTTTCATTGATGCCAAGAGAAATTTGGTCTAGTTACCCCTAATGGAGTTTAAGTCGAAATCATCTCTTTTACTACCTTCAATCATCATACAGTGTTTTATGTGGACAATACTCGACTCGCAATGCCTTTCTTTCTTATATTGAAACCATTGCCCTCTAAGTGCTTCACTATAGTTTCAGATTTTGACACTCACTCGCAAGTTTCGTCAATTAACACACTGTCATTTGCAAGTAGCATGCACGGAGTGGGGTCTGGGGAGGGTAGGATGCACAGAGACCTTACCCCTACCTGGAAGGGTAGAGAGGCTGTTTCCGGGAGACCCTCGGCTCAACCTTTGGATAAACCTACCGTTATTGGAAATTCCTCTGTATGTCTTTACATTTTTCTCATGCCTATGATTGTTCATCGTACATATTCTTAAAGGAACTTATATATTTGATGTACAAACTTCTAAAGCTGCCCTTGGTTAATCTTAGAACATTATCTAACTGAGAATTGCTGCAGAAAGATCGAAACTCTAAATTCTCATTTTTGCATCCTTGTTCCTTCCCTGTCATCTTGAGAAAAAGTATTTCCATTGTTGGAATACAGTGTAAGAATCTTACATCTTCGTCATTTGACAGCTCTGAAGTATTGTTTATGATTGTGAAGTAGAGGTGGTGGTGGGCACCGTGAAAGGAGTTATTTGCACATATCTAGGTAGTTACTGTGGTATAGATGTAATTTTGATGTTAGTCTCTTTTCCTTCAAGGGAAGAGATCAAGGCAGGGCTGTGAACGTGGTGCAGCTACCTTGCGATCTCCGGATAAGACTCTGAGAGTGCTGGAAGCTCTCACTCTGATGCTCGGGCACCTGGATCTGCACACAAGGTGCAGGGAGTAACTTGAGTATGCCAACTCAGTAAGTAACTAAAGTAAATAAAGTCTGAGTGCAGTGGCGAGCATTCACAATCATATGCATGCCTATCAAGAGAATTTCAACAAAAATATCAAGTCAAAATCTGCAGTTCAATAGCCAATTTATCTCGTAAAAGCTCCAGTTTCAATTAAAATCCTTTAAAATATTTATTCAACATTTTTCAACAGAGGCTCAGTATAAAAGATGAATGAAAGCAGAAAAATGTCGTAAACAAGCCCTTCGGGCAAGGTATCACTCATAAGCATAGCCTCTCGGGAAAGCCTCTCAGTCACTCGTGACTCAGCTCTCGTCAATCAGTACTCACACGCAGTACTCCAGCTCAATAGATATCTCATAATAATAATAATAATAATAATAATAATAATAATAATAATANTCAGTCATCAACCTCACGACCACGCGGGCATATCAGTGAAAATCAGGGAAACTCAGCCCAAATAGTTTTCATATTTTAAGAAGTGGAGTGATGAAACCGGATTAAACAAGACTGGGGATATGCTTTCAAATTGAAACATGGTGAGGGAAGTAGTAAAATACCCCTAAGGGTCTAAACAGGTCGGCACAAGGCCTCAAACATGGCACTCAACCCAAGTTAATAAACCAATTTCTAAAACACATGGATATCAGATACAATATATCAAATTATGCAACTATACAGTCGCCACGAGACGGACCAAGTCACAATCCTTACGGGTGCACGCCCACATGCCATCACCTAGCATGTGCGTCACCTCATTTATTAAAACAGTACGAAATTCTAGGGTTTCATACCCTTAGGTCTAGATTTACAATTGTTACTTACCTCAAACCGGATGAAATACTACTCCGCGACGCCCTTGCCTCTGGACTCAGCCTCAACTCGCGTCGAATCTATCTAAAATCAGAATCATAACATCAATATATGCTAAGGGAACGAAGCTCATGCGAAAATAATCAAATTACATCAAAAATCCCTAAATTGGTCAAACTCGACCCCCAAGCCCACGTCTCAGAATTCGATAAAAATTACATCAATAGAATTCTTATCCTCCCACGAGTCTGTACATACCAAAAACATCAAAATCGGACCTCAAATGGTCCCTCAAATCCCCAATTTACACTCTCCAATTTCAAGCCCTAATCTCCCAATTTTAGGCTTCAAATCCCACTAATTTCATGACTAAATAATTAGAAATCATCATAGAATCGAGTATTATGTTCAAAAATCTTACCTCCAAGTGTTTCCCTTCGAATCCCTCTTCAATCCCTCTCAAAAAGCTTCAAATCCGCTCAACAATGGTGGAAAATGACTAAAATTTGCGAAGACAACTATTTAAACATTCTGCCCAGGTAAATTTTTCTTAATCGCGATCGCGGAAAGACCCTCGCGATCGCAAAGCACATAATTTGACTGCCCTCATTTTAACCCTAAGCGATCGCATAAAACTCTACGCGATCGCGAAGCACTGCCTTAGCTACCTGACACGATCGCGGCCTCACCCACGCGATCGCATAGAACAAACCTATTCACCTCTCACCAGCTCATTCCCTTCTACGCGAATGTGACCCTGGCGACGCGTTCGCGAACAACAACTTCACAGCCTATCGCGATCGCGTCCTAACCTCTGCGATCGCGTTGAACAATTCTCACCTCTGCCCAACTGAGCCTACGCGATCGCGAAGAACAAAAATGCCTGCAACTGAAACCAGAAAATCTGCAACTCTCCAAAATAAGAATTTGATCCGTTAACCACCCGAAACTCACCTGAGGCCCTCAGGACCTCAACTAAATATTCCAACACATCCCATAACATCATTCAAACTTGTTCCAATCTTCAGAACGCTCAAAACAACATCAAAACATCAAATCACCCTCGGATTCAAGCCTAAGGATTCCAAAAACTTCCGAATTCGATCAAAAAGTCTATCAAAACTCGTCTGAATGACCTGAAATTTTGCACATGTCCCAAATGACACAACGGACCTACTCCAATTTACGGAATTCCATTCCGACTCCGATATCAAAATTTCCACTACCAACCGGAAAGCGCCAAAATTTCAATTTCGCCAGTTCAAGCCTAAATCTACCACGGACCTCCAAAATACACTCCGATCACGCTCCTAAGTCCCAAATCAACTCACGAAGCTATTCGAATCATAAAAACTAAATTCTGAGATCGTTTACTCACAAGTCAACTTCCGATTGACTTTTCCAACTAAATGACCAACTTAAGAGACTAAGTGCCCCATTCCTCTACAAAACCACTCCGAACCTGAACCAACCAACACCATACCATATAATACAGTTGAACAAGAGATAAAGAAGCAGAAATAGGGGAAACACGGTAACTCATGAAACGACCGCTGGGTCGTTACATCCTCCCCCTCTTAAACAAACGTTCGTCCTCGAACGAGTCAAGAAACATACCTGAAGCCTCAAATAGGTGAGGATATCTGCTCCGCATCTCCTGCTCGGTCTCCCAGGTAGTCTCCTCCACGGGCCGACCTCTCCACTGCACTTTTGCTGAAGCTATATCCTTTGATCTCAACTTTTGAACTTGATGCTCCAAAATAGTTATTGGCTCCACATCATAAGTTAAATCATTATCCAACTGAACCGTGCTGAAATCCAAAACATGAGACGGATCGCCAATGTACTTCCGGAGCATAGAGACATGAAATACCGGATGCACACTCGACAATCTAGGTGGCAAAGCAAGCTCATAAACCACCTCCCCAATCCTCCGAAGCACCTCAAAAAGCCCAATGAACCGAGGACTCAATTTACCCTTCTTCCCAAATCTCATAACACCCTTCATGGGTGAAACCTTTAGTAGAACCTTTTCCCCAACCATGTAGGACACATCACGAACCTTCTTGTCAGCATAACTCTTTTGTCTTGACTGCGCTGTACGAAGCCGCTCCTGGATCACCTTCACCTTGTCCAAAGCATCGTGTACCAAGTCTATACCCAATAGCCTAGCCTCGCCCGGCTCAAACCAACCAACTGGAGATCTACATCGCCTCCCATATAAAGCCTCATATGGGGCCATCTGAATACTCGACTGATAACTGTTGTTATAAGAAAACTCCACGAGCAGTAGAAACTGATCCCATGACCCTCCAAAATCAATGACACAAGCGCGCAACATGTACTTCAATATCTGAATGGTGCGCTCGGACTGCCCGTCCGTCTGAGGGTGAAAAGTTGTGCTCAACTCAACCTGAGTACCCAACTCTCACTGCAGACCCTCCAAAACTATGAAGTAAACTGAGTACCTCTATCTGAAATGATGGAAACTGGGACACCATGCAAGCGAACAATCTCTCGGATATAAATCTTTGTTAACCGCTCTGAAGAATAAGTAGTACACACATAAATGAAGTGTGCAGACTTGGTCAGCCGATCCACAATCACCCAAATAGCATCTAATTTCTTCAAAGTCCGTGAGAGCCCAACTACAAAGTACATGGTGATCCGCTCTCACTTCCACTCTAGAATATCTATCTACTGAAGCAAGCCACCCAGTCTCTGATGCTCATAATTCACCTGCTGACAATTGAGACACCGAGCTACAACTCCCACAATATCCTTCTTCATTTCATCCACCAATAATGTTGTCTCAGATCCTGATACATCTTCGCGGCACCCGTATGGATGGAATATCGCGAGCTATGGGCCTTCTCTAGAATTAACTCCCAAAGCTCATCCACATTGGGCACACATATCTGGCCATGCATCCTCAATACCACATCATCACCAATAGTCACATCTATGACATCGTCGTGCTGAACTCTATCCTTACGGACGAGCAGATGAGGATCATCATACTGGCGCTCTCTGATACAATCAAACAAGGAAGACCGAGAAACCATACAAGTTAAGACCCGACTGGGCTCTAAAATATCCAACATCACAAACCGATTGGCCAGGGCCTGAACATCAACTGCAAAAGGTCTCTCCCCAACAAGAATAAATGCAAGACTGCCCATACTCACTGCCTTCCTACTCAAGGCTTCTGCCATTATATTGGCCTTCCCCGGATG